GGTTGAGGAGAGACCCCCCACATGATTGTAAAGCGCTTTGGGTGTACAGCGATACACAATAAAGCGCTATATAAATGCATCATTCATTCATTCAAAGAAAAAAAAATCTATTGAAATCTAAAAAAATTTGAACGGTAGTTCAAAACTTCATGCTATTCAATATTATTTACATACTACTATAGTTTGAATTAGCTTTTATTTTTATACATTCAGTTTTCATTTTAATTTTAGTTTAATTTTTAGTAATTGTTTGTTAATGTTATAACTTTTGTTTATTTTAAATATTACTATTTAGGTTTAATTTAATTTATTAAATTTCAGTTTTGGTTTTACATTTTTTCCAGTTAGTAATTTTAGTGCTTCAAATTCAACTAGATGAAAATATACTACTATTTTTATAAATATATAAAATAGAAACAACACTAACTGAAAATCTAATCTGATCTAATATTTATATTCTATTATTTCACTTTTATTATTTCACCTTTAAGTTAACAATAATAACCCTTGTCAGGTTAAGGTAAGGTTTGCGCATCTTCACAACACAAAACTTCGTTTTTTGGAGTTTTTGTTTTATGTAGGTTGAATGATAGTTGATTGTGTGCGTGTTTCATATGACACCTGTCTGGCTGTTAGCAGAGACTCGTCGATCTGTTTCTTCAGCTCTCCGTTATCATCCAGCTCTCCTTTCTCCAGCGCATCCAGCCATCGCTCCTCCTCATCCATCGGGCCGCCCAGCAGCGAGTCCGTGTCCAAGTCCGGCACAGGAGACGGGTCCAGGTTACTGTCTTCATCTGGTATTACCAACAAAAACACACTCATGCACATTAACACTGGCTGCGAGTCACTCAAATATATGTGTTTTTGCTATATTCGAACGGTTCAGTCACCCAGCCAGGCTCGGTACTGCTCGATAGGAACTCCCTCTGATGGCACGTCATCATCAGAGTCATTGTCATCATCATCCTCATCATCATCATCACTCTCTACGTTCAGAGGCGACACTGAGCGCAGAGAGTCCGGGATCACTGTGAATGTGGGCACACTGAAACAAGAACAACATTCAGTAAACACCTTTGTTAAAGGTGACTCGCATTACACTCGGTACAGAGACAACTTTGCACTTATCAGGGTTCTTACACCTTTTCCTAAGTCAAATTCAAGCACTTTCAAGGTGCATTTTCAAGATTTTCCAGCACTTTACAACTGTGGTAAATTAAATTTTTACATAATCCTTGAGTTCTTCAATTTAAATCAGATGTTTGTTCAAGGTATCTTGGAGAGGTGAGGTGTCCAAGTCGCAACATCTAGCTACTGGGGTGCCTCAGGGCTCAGTTCTTGGACCACTTCTCTTCTCTGTCTACATGGCATCACTAGGTTCTGTCATTCAGAAACATGGCTTTTCATATCACTGCTATGCTGATGACACTCAACTCTACCTCTACTTTACAGCTGTGGTAAATTACATGTTTACATAATCCTTGAGTTCTTCAATTTAAATCAGATGTTATTGTGCTATGAACAACCACCTGTCTGGATTGCATATAACATTGCCTAATATAAATAGCCAACATACAGTAAATAAATCAGCTCATGCTGGGTTTGAACATCCAAATGTTTGGTCACTAGCCCAGATCTTTATGCCTTACCAATAATTCACCCAAACATACAATATATTTGTTTTGTTTTTTTGGGAGAACTATTGATTTAATGCACAAATAAACCAATATAAAGAGCATATGCATTCATTTTTACATTATTGTCTACAGTATAAGAGATTTGTTCTGGTTATCACTTCATTATTTCAGTAAGAAAATGACACGTGTTTTGCTATAGTGTAAATTTATAGAAATCAAATGATGTAAAAAAAAAAAAAGACAAAAAGCTCATGTATAGAATTCTCAGCCTCATTTATTGCTGAAAAGCATGTAAACTGCCTGACCTCTTGGTGCCCAGAGTTTGTCCTCCTAGTTTGATCTTGAGCTTGAGCTGAGGAGGTTTCAGCAGCAGCATCCCGGAGTCTGACTCCAGCGCCTCGGAGGAGAAACTGTGGCCATCGTCGCGATGGTGCTTCTTCTTGTGCTTCTTGTGCTTTTTGTGTTTCTTCTTGTGCACGCTGTAATCATCCCCGCTTGCTACAGAACAAACACCAACAACCAAACATAGTCAGTGCTTGGAAGGTTACTTTGGAAATGTAATAGCTTACAGATTATTTAAAATGTAATAAGTAGTGTAACTATTTTAATTACTTTACTCAAGTAATGTAACTGATTACATTTGAATACTTTTTGTACTTTTAAATCATTTTCAATCATTTAAAGCAGACAGGGTTAACCTTACAGTAGCACTCAACACTGATTACTGTCAAGACTTTCAAAATCCTTCTTCACTTGAATTAAGATCATAATAATTTAATTTAAAACACAGCCACCACAAAATCAGACTTTAGCACTCGACTCTTTTTCTTAGCTTTCTAGCAACTTCTCTTTTTTGTGCTTCCTCGCGGCAAAGCATTGTGGGTAATGTAGTTCGCGTCACGTCACAACGGAGCCGTTAGTTTTCATAAATAATTTTTCTTTTACTTACTTTTTCTTTCTGAAATACTGTTTATATATTGTTATATTGATATTCAATCAAATAAAAAAATTATTTCTCAATCGTTTGTGATTACCAGCTGAGCATCAAGGGTTGGTTTTCATTTGCATATCTAGTAGGCATCTGCAATTAATAAACGTGAGCGAATATGCTTTCAGCGAATATAAATCTCCAGAAAGAACGAATAGTGAATATAGTTCGATTTAGAATTCGCTTTCTGCACCGGAAAAAAAGAACAACTGTTTACGCTTCTCTCAAGAAAGAAAACTACACGGTCCAGAAAGCACTGCGGGAGGACTTGCTAGCAAAGAAAGCATTAACTCATCCACAGATAGAAATTAAGTTAGCTTTAAGTAAAAAGAGAGTGAGTAAGAAATTGCAAAAGTTATGGAATAATGGGTTTAAAGGAAGACATCTTTTCCAGATTCAGGAGTGTGTTGGGAATGAGAGGAAAAGATACGGAAATAGGAAGATGTCATCTTATCAAGACTAAGAGTTGGACATACAGCATTAAACTATAGTCTTCATAAAATAGGCAAGCATGAATCGGGAAAGTGTGACAAATGTGGAGAGTTATAAACAGTGAAACATTCTTTTTGAGTGTTCTGCATATGAAAGGGAGAGATTTCAATTAATTCAAGAATTAGGATGGCTGGGAGTTGATCATATTTCTTTAAAAGTATTGTTAGGAGATGGGTCGAGGCAATCAAGAGTGCAAGAAAAAGTGTTTAAATACCTGAAAAACACAGGACCAATAGATGGAATCTAGTTTTTTTTTTCCTTTTCTGTGTTTCTTTCTTCCAGATGTATGCACACTCCACACTCCAGATCAGTAGGTGGCGCTAATGCAACAATAGATGGAATCTAGTTTTTTTTCCCTTTTCTGTGTTTCTTTCTTCCAGATGTATGCACACTCCACACTCCAGATCAGTAGGTGGCGCTAATGCACCTTTTTCACCGCCATAGATTAGAACACCAGAAGACGAAGAATGTTACAGGTACATGTGCTTTTTGTGGGGTAATAGAAACCGCTGAACATGTAATATTAAAACAACATTCAGTCCTGCGCGAGGAGCATGGTTTCCATGCACGTGTGTTTCAGTCTGAAAATGAAGGTGAAGTCGTCAAGATAACGAGATTTGAACTCAGAAGTGAATTAAAAAACAAAAACTTGAGCACTTTAGCATTCTGTTGCACAACTAATCAATTTTTTATTTGCTTTGACTGTTTAAAAACATGTGCTACATTTTAAATGTAATTTGTTTTGTCTATAGGACAACCTATTTAATGTCATATTTAGAAAATAATGAAATATAACTACTACCTTTTAGTCAGCTCCCATGTAAAAAGCTCATGTTTAGAAGTTGCACAATCAATAAAGGGCTCAGTATTTAAGTTTGCACAAAAACAAATATATATTCTCTGTATGCTTTCTGTTGCACAGTTAATCACTTCGCTTTGTCTGTTTATGAACATGTGCAACATTCCCATTTTCCTCTCTTTTTTGTTTTTTTTGTTTTATTTCTGGGACCAATTCCTGTTCAACAAGGATCCTTTAATGGGCTTTTTACTCATTTCTAAGTGATTGCATTGCTTTAGTTTCTTCTATAATAATACTATTCGATAGCCTATATCTGTATAATATCATTAAAGGATTGGGATTAAAGGAATTAGGATTGCTTCCAAATTATGAATGATCTCATTGAATTTGATATGAATTATCACTGACATTCCTTCTCTGGTTCATTTTCTGTTTATTTATTTGTGAATACTTACAGGGATCTTTTAATTGGCTTTTTACACTTGTATTTTCTAAGCGATTACAGAGATAGTTTAGTCAGTTTCTTCTATTATCATCATAAATACCATTTAAAGACCCATTAGGATTGCTTCTAAATGATGATAGAAACTCCGTTTACATTCATTTGGTGGAATTTTATAACAAACATTTTAATACAGGTGCACAAAAATTCAAATAACTATTTACTATTTATGAATATGTGCGGCATAACATTTTTCTCTTTTTTTTTTGGAGTTTATATCATAATTTGGAAGCGATTTCTATCTAGTGAGGATACGTTAATCGGCTTTTTACTTGTGAAATTTCTAAGCGATTATATGATTATATCCAGTAAATCTGGATAATAGCATTAAACTCCCATTACGATTGATTCCAATGAAACTCCATTTTCATTTCTTCTCTACAAGTTTATTGCAAACAATGTAGTACAGATGCACAGAAGTTAAAATCACCATTTCTGATGTCTAATTTGCAAATTGTCCACTCAGAAGCATGAAGCACGGGTATCGCACGATATACACTGGTGTTTGGTGCTTCTTGTTTGGCTTTAGTGTTGTTAAATTTCAGTAGTCAGCACCAATAAAACTTCTACGGTTCTCAGTAGCAGTTTTGGTACTGAACAAAAGGCGTTCTCTTTATAATAAATGAAGCTGAAGTCAGTGATATCGATATACTGATACCCGTTCTAGTAATCTGTCTGTGCTCCACTATGAATCTCTTATGCACATCGTGTTTAGACTTCGTTGGTTATCCACCTTTTTCCTACGCCTCATGACACTTTGCGCAAATTATAGGAGTAACTTTCGTTTACACTGTAAACGATCAGCAAAAGGTTCGCTCTATGAACGCAATAATAAGCATTTTCAAAACCTGCGTACAATGAGTTGACATTATTTTACTCGCCCTTCAACCATCGATCATTAAAAGGAAATTTAAAAGTGTAAAAGTTACTTTCAACATACCACGAATAACTCTTAAAGATCCTCCTTCTATCCGCAGAAATGTTACGGACGTGTTAAATATCATTATAGTAATATATGTCTATATTTCGTAACAAGTACATTTTACAGCATCCGTGTGAAAACAAACCTGGAAAGAGACGTGAGGATTTGGGGAGAAAAATTAAAGATTCTTAGTGCATTATTCATGGTTTATATCGTAAATTAAATCGTGAGAGCAGACCACAAATGCACAGAACATGTTGTCTTTTTTCATTCACTTACTGCGGAATACAAAGGAAACATGAAGGAAAATAATGCAGCGGGCTGAAAAGAGCTATTCAATAGATATTGTTGTTATATCACGTCACATTAATTTACCAAATGTAACGTTATTCTCCTGACTTCTGAAAATAGAAAATGAAGGAAAATTTACAGCCCATTCAGTCAAAATGACGGATAAGGATTATTTGTAGTTTATGATTATTATTCTTATATTATTATTTGTATTCTTATGATTTGAAATGATTTGTTGCACTCTTTCTGAATGGAACTTCCCCCAAAACGGAAGTGCCTCCCATAATTTAAAACCATGGGGTTTTAACCCCCCGCCGCAGAGTCGGGTCTGAGATTTTCCTTGTGCCCCTCGATCATCCCCAAGATACTTAATTTTTGTGATAGTTTTGTGATTAATTATTTATTAAACTGACCAGAAAATAGCGGTTGTAATTTTCTTGGGCGCCTCACGGCACGTGTCCCTACATCTCCCCCTCACACTCCTGGTTTAAGCTGGTCCTTTGCTGGTTTAAGATGGTCCTTTGCTGGTTTAAGCTGGTCCTTTGCTGGTTTAAGATTGTTCTTGAGCTGGTTTAAGCTGGTCCTTTGCTGGTTTAAGATGGTCCTTTGCTGGTTTATGCTGGTCCTAAGCTGGTCGGACCAGTTTAGGACCTGCACATGCCAGCTAAACTTAAACCAGCAAGGGACCAGCATAAACCAGCAAAGAACCATCTTAAACCAGCTCAAACCAGCATCCCAGCTTCAAAACATACCTAACCAGCATATGCTGGTTTTTTCAACAGGGCTGACAGAATTTCATGTGAAATGTTCACGCGATATTATCGTAATTTTACATTCCGACTTGTAAAAACCATTCACGTCCTCGTCCTTTTTACGAGCCGTTTTCCGAAGCTTTCTCGCTTCTCAAGACGGCCACCGTCAGTCACATAAGCACATCTCTTTACTTGCGCTCTAGTCTCTGGACAAAGGCGCTCAAACCACTGTAGCCTAATGTAATCTATTAACTACGCACATCATAACGTTTTAGGCAAGTAGGCTACCATATTATGACAAAATATTTTAATAAGACTGAATTTGTATTTAACCTGATCACGTTTAATAAAAATACATTTTAAGTTTCATTAGCGCCGCATGTCCACGATTATTCAAACAACGAACAAATTATACAGTGAGCAAAGAACATTTAGATTATCAAAGAATATCACTGAATTCAGTCTAGCGTAAGCACTCTAAAAAAAGCTATAAGCTATAATCAGTGATGTTGTCTGCAGTGTATGATGAATTAATCTCTTATTTACATCGCATGTACATCTGCACTTTGTTGTTTCTAATGAGAGAATTCGCCAAAGTGCACTGACCAAAAATTTCGCTTATCAGCGATGTTAATATTTAGTAAAATCCCCTTAAATAATAGTAAAATCACAAATATATATTGGTTCGCATATAACTCTGTCTTCATGTGTATGTTAATATATAAGAGTTTGGGCTGTTTAAAGGGGTCCTATTATTATAGTGTACTAGTATAGAAATAATACTAAACTGAAACAAACTGAAAATATTTAACAAAAATCTAATTCAAAATGTTAGTATATGCTTGGTGTATAAATAATACTAATAGAAAACTAAATATATTAACATAAAAGCTAATTCAGAATATCAATATATACTATACTAGTATATAAATAATACTAAACTTACAACAAAAACTGAAAATATTATTTACGTATACACTATTCTAGTATATAAATAAAACTGAATTAAAATGACAGCTGAAAATATAAAAATAAAAGTGAATTAAAATTATGAATATATGATATGCAAGTATATAAATAATACTAAAATAAAACAGAAAATATAAAAATGTATGCTAATACAAAATATTAATATAATCTAGTACCATTCTATAATATTATTTTTAAATGTTAATATAAAAAAAGACAACTATCAAAGTTTGTAGTTTAAGTGTAAATATTGCTGTTTGTTCTCAACCAATGGCATGCGTTTGGGGGCGGGGCTGTTGGTTTTCCGACCAATGGCAGACAGCCAGTGTTGAATATGCTTACTATTGTGTTTTTAATTTGCAGCTTGCCAGCAAATTTGATTTGCTTATCATTGAGGATATTTCCTGCAGTTCCAGGAAGTAATTTGCTCTGATTTATCTCTATCTGTTTGTATTGTGTGATAGATTAGCATGCAGCGGTACTCACACACTGACCTCTCTGATAGCCTCTCTATTGCTGCTGTGATAAGATAAAACTCAGTAATAAAATAAATAAAGTCAATCCTCTGCTCTCTTCTTCTGTTGCTCTGCTGTCATCCAGTGTTTGTCAGTAGGACAGTGCTGTTTCTGTCCTGAGACACAGCCGTCACGCTCATTATATCGACTCAAGGGAGAAAAGCTCGAAGAGAAACCTGTGTGAATGATAACACTGAGATATATAACACTAGAAATCCTGTCTCATATCTGTCCACTTCTGTTATTACCATGCTTTTTTATCATGGCAGTGTCATTTTATTCTTGGAAAGTGACATTGGTAGTGCCATTTAATTGTTGTACAGTACATGATATATATACATGTAATAATTGAAAATTAAAATACCATACCATAAATTAATAGATACAAGTAAATATAGTACATTGTTCCATGAATTATTCATATAATTGGTCTACATATAATAACATATATATATATATATGTCATATACACAAATATATAATTTATGTGTTTGTATGTTTAGTTGTTTTTTGTATCTTAATGTATTTAAATAACATTTTATTCAATAGTTTTTTAAATAAAAAAAACATTAATAATTTATATTAGTAAATATAATTTACTAATTATATTGTTAATGTAGATACAATTTTGTCATTTTTGTTGAAACATGAATTAATCATTAATATATATATATAATTATTTCATTACACATTTTTAATATATTTAATTATTTAACATTTAATTTACATTTATTCATATGTAAATATAATTAAATATTTAATTCATATATATATAATAATATGTCTGAAAAAAATATAATTTTGTAAAAATTAGAAATAATATATACACATACGCACACAATATAAACTTAATTACATGAATTAACTATATTTATGAATAATTTAGTATTTATATTAATTATGTAAAGGTACAATTAAATAAAATGTAATTCAATAGTATTTATATTGTACCATAAAGTAAAATATATTAAAGGGGTCATATGATGCTGCTAAAAAGAACATTATTTTGTGTATTTGGTGCAATGAAATGTGTTTATGCGGTTTAAGGTAAAAAAAAAAATTGACTTAACTTTTATAAAGAATATCTCTTTGGATTTGAGACTTTAGTCTTTGCAACTTTACAGATCTTCTTTATGCACCAAGAGCTTGTAACACTCCAAAGAGAAAGGAACAATTGAAATCGCATCATATGACCCCTTTAAGCACCTTTGGGCTTTTCTCAGATTGTGAAACACTTGTGTTTGAGTTTCATTATTCTCGAATCATTTGTGTGTGTTTGTGCTGTTGTTCTGGTCAGGTTGCGGATGGGTTTGGTCACTGGACCGAAGCCGCTGGTGGACCGCGTGGTGATGCACACCAGCACCTTCACACGGGTCACACCTCTTACATTCACTCCTCATCATCATCGCTCACATTCACCGTCCTGCTTCTCTCCTGAATCAGCAGCGCAGCAGCTTCAGTCGAGGGCTCTTTAGCTGTAGTCCCTAAATGACAGGCCTTGTGTTCTGCTTTCAGAGGTGTGTCTCCGAGAGCAGGAGTGGATTCATGAGAGGAGGAGGTGTGTTTGGTGTTTGTACTGTACGTGTGTTTGTTTGGGCTCCCAGCGGTGAGCAGACGAATTTGAACTTTTAATTATTCTCACAGCGTGAATCTCAGGAGAAGAGATGCAGCGAGAAAAACAAGCGTGAGATTAGGCCTGGGCGATAAAACGGTATCGATATTTATCGACGGAACAGTGTTCGATATAGGCACGTGTTATGAGTGACGCAGACTGCAAACACAAACACGAACACATGCTGAAATGCCTGCCTGTGATGAGGAGATTGTGAAAAAAAAAATAGAATATTCGTCGAATTTAAAATAAACATTTGCATTTGAATGCAAAAATGGTACAGTCAAATGTTAGGTGTGCGTCAGGGAGCGTCATCAGTGACGCACGCGTGAGATGCGGCGATAATAATGTAAGTGACGTTGTTGCATTTTAATGTTTTGTTAGTCAAATATGACTGCTGCTCTCACGTCTCATGCAAGAGATGCAAAGAAAGCCATGCAAAGTTAAAACTTTTAGAAAACGCGGTTTATTTCATTTCACTGCGTCTCATATGTTTTTAAATGCAATCTGTGTGATCGGCGATTTGGCTCTTTGTATTAGGCATCATGTATAATGCATAAATACATGATGCTGTTTTGTTCATAATTGTTTATGCCGTTTACAAAATTATATTTGATTTATATATGTTAATTTAGACGTAATGCATGTTTTTTTATAGACAGTTATTTCCCTGCGTTGACATTATGTGCTCCTGTGGCCTCGGGAGACAAGCCAAAAGTTTCCTTAAGACTTATTTAATCTGCATATAAAACATAAGAAAGGAGATATTTGTTTAAATTTTATTTTGTGTTTGACTGCTAAAAAAATATATTAAAAATGTGTTGTTTGTCTTAATAAATTGGGCAAATAAAAAATACAGTGGTTAAATTAAAAAAAAAATTCTATTGCTCTGTTTTTAAAAAATGTTATAAGAAATGTCAATAATTATCAATACCGAACAATATGAAACATATATCGTTGATAAATTTTTTAGCTATGCCGCCCAGCCCTACGTGAGATTCACAGGAGCTTTAACAGCGACGAGACTGACTGTCAGTTCTGTGTCCGCTGCGCTGGGATGCTTTGCTAAATAATAACAAGTCATTAAATAATGTTTAATCAATATCATATAATAATAATAATAAATATTTATTTTAATGGTAATTCTTGTAATATTTACTTTATATATTAGTAGTAATAAGTCATCTTTATCTAAACAGTAAATTTATTTTATATATTAAATAATATATAAAATAATATATATATATATATATTAAATAAATATTAAGTAATGTCATTTTATTCTTGGAAAATGACATTTGGTAGTGCCATTTTTATTTATTTATTTTTTAATTTTTATTTATTTGTATTATTTGCAAAATACTCTTTAATTAAGATTACCAAAGTCATTAAATAATGTTAAATAAATATGAAGTAATGTTTATTCTGATAATTATTAATATTTATTGAATACATTAAATAATACATAATAATATTGATTCCTGTTTTTCACTTTGGTGGAATGATTTGCAAAATACTCTTAAGATTTTGCATCAAATAATGTTTAAGAAATATTATATTATTATAATATTAGATAATATTTACTTTATTAATAATTACTAATATTTGTTTTATTTTTTTTAATAATGTGTACTTTTTTTTTAGCTGTAGAGAGATGATTTGCAAAATACTCTTATACATTAATGTATAAAGTGCGTTGTTTTCTTTTTCTTTTTTTTTATAATTGCTATACCATATCATAAACGTATCTGATATATTGTGACCTGCAAAATATTACGTTTCTTGTAGCTGAATCAAACTGAAGCCCGAATAAAATAACGAAGCCTCTTGTTAGTCGTATTGTATAATGACCCTCAAAGTTTGTTTTTCCTCTCCTCTCTCTGTGTTTTCAGCTCATGGTTTCTCAGCTGCTTCATAGCTGGGGTCCAGAAGGTTTTCTCAAGCACATTGACGGGTGAGCCGGACATTTATTTATGAGTTCAATCAAATTCCTGTGTTGTTATATAAATGACCACAGGGTTCTGCTTACTATATTTGAATTGTTGTTCATAACTGTATTTCATTCTGTATTGTAAACTTGTACAGACTTCAGTTGGACCTTTGGTTAGCTGTTAAATATTTGAACAGGTTTTATTTAAGTTGAGATGTGCGTATGGTTGACATTAGTTTTTGCTCTTCCTCAGGGTGATGGAGTTTTACAGATCTCAGAGGAACGCCATGCTCTCCTCAGCAGACCAATGGCTCAAAGGTTAGACTCTCATATCAACTGCATCTGTTATTGACTCTATCATATTAGTCTTATGTAACTGTATTTTAACATTGATCCCAGTGCAATGCCTGATATAGTTTTTTATACTAAAATTGCAAACGGAGAGTCGAGTCTAAATGATCTTCTGTAGTAATAAGCTGTATGGACAACATCTGTGGCACACTGCCAGTGTTGTTTTGAACTAAAACACAAGGCAGAAGTTCACAGTTGCTATTGATTTTGTTGGAATAAGTAAATTATCTCATATATGTGACCCTGGACCACAAAACCAGTCATAAGGGTCAATTTTTCGAAATTGAGATTTATACATCATCTGAAAGCTGAATACATAAGCTTTCCATTGATGTATGGTTTGTTATGATAGGACAATATTTGGCCGAGATACAACTATTTCAAAATCTGGAATCTGAGGGTGCAAAAAAATCAAAATATTGAGAATATCGCCTTTAAAGTTGTCCAAATGAAGTTCTTAGCAATGCATATTACTAATCAAAAATTAAGTTTTGATATATTTACGGTAGGAAATTTACAAAATATCTTCATGGAACATGATCTTTACTTAATATCCTAATGATTTTTGGCATAAAAGAAAATCTATAATTTTGACCCATACAATGTATTTTTGGCTATTGCTACAAAATAGCGAATTAAGACTGCTTTTGTGCTCCAGGGTCACATATTTGAATGTCAGAGTCCAGATGACAGTATTTAAAGGAATATGTAGTTCACCTAAAAATAAAAAATGCTGAAAACATACCCTCAGGCCATCCAAGGTGTAGATGAGTTTGTTTCTTCATCAGATCTGAAGCATTGCATCACTTGCTCACCAGTGGATCCTCTGCAGTGAATGGGTGCCGTCCATCAATTAACATCTTTTGTATTTTCGTAAAAAAATCCATTATTAATGCATTTTAAGGCTAAAATATGAGTCCATAATAACTCTTCCTCAAATGAAAAAGTCCATCTCCTGTTGTCTCTCACATTAAAATCCACCAACTGTTGCTGATAATGGAGAGAGCGTTAGAGAAAGAGGTTCAACACACTCACACACATCTGTGTACTTCACACATACACAAAAGCTCACACAGTTTACATTTGTGCTGAATGTGATGATTTAAATGTTTGCATTTGCTACATGAACAAATACTCACTTCTGTACGAAACCACTTTCCTTTATCACTGCAAACATTTCCTGTGAGTCAGAGTCGTTTGTATGATACAGTACAGCAGGTTTGCTGGGGCTTTTTGCCAAAGCAAAGTTTGAATTGTGTGTGTGTGTGTGTTTATGTAAATGAACTGAAGCACCTGATCCTGAAAACACACCACATGTTTTGCCTCCCACACATTCAATACAGCGTCTGTTTTCTGTTGAGACGAGCATGGAGTCAGTCCTGTTGAACATCTTTACACTGTGTTTACTTCACGTGTTTGAAGCTGAACATTTTCAGTGTTCAAATCCTTTTCTTATTCCAACTTATTAACAATAAGTAAGCCTTCAAAACACTGCTCTGTTTGTTTGAGCATTGACAGTCAAGAGTTACGTCTGTAAACGTGATGCTAGACTTTAGTTTCTCCTGAAGTCTCGGTTCTAATCTAAACGTTCAGCAGGTGTATATTAAAGGGCTTTGAATAATTATCTCGGGTTTAGTGTGTGTCTGTGTGTGTGTGTGTGTGTGTCTGTGTCTGTGTGTGTGTGCGTGTCTTTGTGTGTCTGTGTGTGTGTGGGTGTGTGTGTGTGTGTGTGCGTGTCTGTGTGTGTCTGTGTCTATGTGTGTGTGTCTGTGTGTGTGTGTCTCTGTGTGTGTGTGTGTGTGTGTCTGTGGGTGTGTCTGTGTGTGTGTCTGTGTGTGTCTGTGTGTGTGTGTGTTCTTCTGGTTCCTGGAGGAGTTTTCAACATCAACAGCTCTGATCCGTGTCTGTATGTTAAAGCCACCTTTTCTCTCTCCACACCTCAACAGTACAACACACACACACAAACACACACACTCTGCATATACACTCACTGGCCACTTTATTAGGTACACCTTGCTAGTACCGGGTTGGACCCCCATGATTTAGGCATCAAAACTGTGTGAATATCACTATCAAACAACATAAACCTTGTCTTGGTTGGTTTATACGTTAATGTTTAGTAAATCTATCGATTTGTTGCTCGTTGAAGCTTTTAAAATGACATTAGGCTAATACGTGCGGGTTACCATTAGTTTTAATGTAACGTTACTTCATATTAACACGTATTTATATCCATTTTTTAACTTGTTTTCTTTTAATGTTCTTCATGAATGCAATAATATTAAGATTGCAAATGGTTTGAATGTACAGTAAACGTCAAATAGAGATTAAATATGTGAAGTGGCAAAAAATGTACACTATTAAATGGCTTTATTTGACTTTTTAACCATTATATTATTATTTCCGCCTTACAAATATGAGTCATTTCTTATTTTAGCACGTCTTGTTATTCTTGTTGGATAAGATCGCAGGAGGAGGAGGAGTCACAGCTTCTGTGTGCTAAACTATTCTGACAAATCAAGTATATTTTCATTAATTTTCCCTTTAATTTTGTCTTTTCAGTGATGCATCTCCATGTGCACCAGTGGTTTACGTTCTCTGTGCTTGCCGGCTTGCAGATAACCAGTGACTGTAACATGAGGACCGGTGGAGAATGATATCTCATCCTGAAGGTTGTTACAGAAAGCCAGAGAAAATGAACGGGTCGAACGGATACGTGATCATTTATTTAGTGGCCGTGATTAGTTTCTGTGCGGCAGAGGCTTTGAACATCTCGGCGGTGGATGGAGACGGAAGAGAGAATGGGACCGAGGCAGATGGAGGCGGCTCGGTTCCCCTGGTGCTCACCAAAGTAAGCCAGATCATCGCCCGCGAGGGGAACTGTGCTTTAATAGACTGTAATATCACCGGCGACCCTTTTCCAAACATCCAGTGGTTCAACTCGCACGGACACCTGCTTGATACTAAGAAAAGTGGTACGTTTACTGTAAAAATCACCTTCTGACTCCAATGCATTCTCATATATCACTGCACCTACACTTGGTCACTTTATACGTTTATTTGATTCTGTAGGTGTAATCCATTTATACTAAATATAAATCTGATCTACTGTTCCCGTACTATATGCACGTCATGTAGTTGAATTTGCTTCCATTATAATCGCGTATGGCAGGTAGTGTTCAATTTAGTCATTGCTCCAAGTGTAAAGACGTCCTGATGGGTTTGTGAGTATGTACAACAAAACGAATAATTTCATTATTACAACCATTTTCAAGGGTTTACATTATCATTCAAAAGTTTTGGGTTTGTATGATATTTTTTTTTTTACCTTCTGCTCACCAAAGTTGCATTAATTTGATATAAAATACAGTAAAACAGTAATAATGTGAAATATTATTACAATATTGCTGCATCATTACTCCAGTCTTCAGTGTCACGTGATCCATCAGAAATCATTTTAATATGCTGATGCAAATTCCTTTAACATGTTACAGGGTTTTGTGCTGATTTTTCGTTTTTTTTTTTTTTT